GCCTTCCCACCTGCCTCAGTCGCTTCCATTCTGCCGCTGATTCCTTCAGCATGGGCAAGACAGCACCAGTACGTAGTAACCCAGACCTCCTGGATATAAGGAAAAGCAGCCATTACAACGTTTGTGCTCCAGGACATTCACTCACAGAAGGGAACTTTCTGGGGGGAAGGATAGCTCAGTGGTTTGAGCATTGGCCTACTAAGCCCACGGTTGTGAGTTCAACCCTTGAGAGGGCCATTTAGGGATCTGGGGCAAAAATCTGTCTGGGGATTGGTCCTCCTTTGAGCACCAGGTTGGACTAGAGGACCTCCTGAGGTCCCTTCTAACCCTGATATTCTATGATGATGCACTGATTTCAAAGCCTGACACTGCTCCCACAGAAATCAACAGCAAAATTCCCACTGGATTCAGTGGGAAAAGGATCAGGATCACATAGGGTAGTAATGCTTTTGGCTTATAGATGAAATAACTTGTCTAAGCTGGATAGTCTTATTTTTATTTGTTTAAATTGTTAAAAAGAATATATACACACAAGGCACTAGAGATACATTTTATAGAGCGCTTGATAGAAATGGCTTTCCTTGCTAAAAATCTTACAGTTATCTACAAACTAGTAACAGGTGTGGGTTATTTTAGATAATCCTACGCAGGCAGCTCTGGCGTGGGATCCACAAGTGCTAGGGCTTTGTCTACACTACAACCTCAACCACATCAGGAAACTTAATCATAACCAGGCTGTCGCTTCACCTAGTTACAGCTGTGCTTCCAATTCTCTGTACAAAGTAGACCTTAAACTTATTTAACACACAAGCTAAAGCATTATTCTGACCAACCAGACATTAAGGTTTCAGACTGGTTGTGAAACATGGTTTAGGGCAGGTCTACACTACAAATTGGAACCATGTTTTGTAGTCAGATTACAGAACAATCAGATTTTAATCTGGTACCATGACAGAATTGTAATTAGAAACCGGAATCATCAGACTAGAGCTCCATGTAGTCCAGTATCCTATCTCAGCAGCCAGTATCAGATCCTAAGGGGAACGGCAACAATCTTCATAAGGGACATGAATGGCATAACCTGCCTATAATGAAAGTTTATTTTTGAAACTTGTCAATTAGTGGTTGGCTTTTAGCCTGAGCATGAGGGTTACATCCAGTATACATGTTTTAGACTTTCTATTTTAACTC